ATAAGGTTTTTATGCATCCCACGTATTTTCAATTAGAGCCTGGTCAGAAGAAAAAAAATTATCGAGCATTTTTAGTCAACTAAATCTCCTTTTCTACTTTCTCAACAGATCTCTTAGACGAGGCATTACAACGATTCACCTGGTCACTCACCCCAAACAAAAACTTCCGCTGTTCCCAATGCTCAAGAACATTCCGCGTATACAACAGTCTCTATCGACACTCGCGTTACGAGTGTGGAAAGCAGCCAAGATTCGGATGTCCATATTGCACCTATGTAACCAAGCACACGACCAGCGTCTATCAACATGTTCGAAGGATGCATCAGGGTCGCGAACAATCGTGTGTCGATGTACTTAGGGGAATTATTGTCAAGAGGAGAGCATGCAAGACTAATGTAGCGACTGAATGATATTGAATTTTTTATGTAGATTTAACTTTTTCTAAAAGGTGTAGCCGTAGATGAGTATTTTTGTCTTAGAGTCGTGCGGTTAAATCGGCAATGTTACTAATTGGGGTGTAATTGTAAGCAATAATGGAACTAGTCACTGTACTCTCCTAGAAGCTACTAACCAACAAAAGCTATTTTTACGAAATGTAATCATATTATAGAATAGAAAGTAATAAGCTTCTACTGTCGACGCAATGTGTATACACAGGTCTTTTTTTTCATAATCGAATAAACAAAATACGATTGATCAAATCTCGTCTAGATATCTTGCTTTAAACATGCTTCTATAGGAACTTTTTGCAAGGCTTTTAAAACATCAATTCCCTTTGTTAAGTCGTGTGGATAATGAAAATAAGGTGAAAAAAAATGTTATTTTCTAACTAAATTATTTTGGTTCCAGGTTACAACGCTAGGAATCGCCGAATCTTACATCCACAAGTTCGCATGAAGAATCTTTTGTACGAAACTACGGAACGATATCCGTGTCCGTCATGCAACAAAAGTTATGGAACTAAAAGTGCCATGATTGCACATTGTAGGTACGATTGTGGCAAGCCACCAAGGTTTCAGTGCCCTTACTGCGGGAAACTCAATCGTAAGAAATTCAACGTACAGGATCACATTAGAAGAATTCATCCTGACAGACCGATAGTTTGTAATACTCGATTTTGATAAGAATTTATTTGAAAAACTTGTGTTGGTCAGTATTTTATAGATATTTTAGTAGAATTGCATTTTTTTTCATTTGGTTTCTGGTGCGGATCTTTGAAAGAATTATGATTAATGTAGATAATTATGTAGGAGATGAAACAATACAACATTTGCATTGTTAAGATTTATAAAGTATAATTAATTATGAATTAACGAATGTAACGTTTGTTGATGGTAAAATAAAAAATTATAATATAATGAACATTGTGCTTTCTTTACTCTTTCATTATTATATGAAGATTAATTCAACATTTATAATTTTTTTTGTAAATATTTCAACTTGTACATAAGAAAAGAGAATTTTTTCCCATTTGTAATGGCGAAAGCATGTTGCACCCAAGTCATAAAAACAAATAACCTACACTCTATCTCTTTTCTACAAAAAAAAACTAATCCTTCACAAAAAAAAAAATTAGCATAAAACCAAAAAAAATCGATTTTTCACATCTTTTTTCAGGTTCATGGTTCAGCTGCAACAATTGTCTACGACTCTTTGAAACAATCGACAGTCTAAATCGTCATATCCGTTCGCACGATTTCACACGAGAATTCGAGCCGAATGGTCGAGTCGTCAGTTATCGTTGTAACTACTGCACTTACATCTCCAAGTACACGTCCAACATTCACAAACACGTGCGACGGATGCACAAAAAAATGGACTACGATACCGAATACTAAACACACAATTTTGTCTTCTTCAAATTAAATTAGCGATGCAAGCTAGACAGAACTATATTTTTTTAGAATCTACCAAATAGATAAAATGCACTTTTTGCTTCGCGACAATAAGCTCTACAGATTTATGTAACTAACCTACGTTTATTGAAATAGGGAATTTTATTGATTTTATTATATAATCAATGAAACAAATTAATGCTCTTAACGTACGTTTTTATTAAATGTAATAATCGTTTTTATGTATGAAAATGCCCAGTGATGTAACTGAGATTTCCTAATGGTTGAGGCGATTGTTGATTGACGCTAGAGTTTATTTGTAATAAGTGCCTAAAAAAATTATACCTATCGCCCTAAAACCCTACGACTGTACCTTATATATATCCTCGTATGATGAATAAATTTTCTTTTCATAGAAACCTTTTTTCCTCTTGTAACTTTCTTCAAACACACTGAAACCCATGTGAGCATGACGATCTTTAGAAAAGAAATCCAAGCAGCACTCCACTAATTACGCCTCGTAATCTTTTTCAGAATCGTTATGGCTACAGAACAGTCGATCGCGCGATCAGGTGTCAAGTTACATGTGCAACATATGTGGCGCTGGTTTTCGTCGTGTAGTTGATGTGCACAAGCACAAGTGTGGACCACCGCCACGTTATGGCTGTCCTTATTGTCATCTCAAAGGCAATCAATCTTCCAACATCTATCGACATGTTCGACGATGGCATCCGAAACTTCCCGTTAACATTAACAAACTGTTCTAAAACAGCTGTTGCAATCGCAAATTGCATTTTTATTGTCCGATGGGTTTCTTCGTTTATAATACTTAATGAACGATTGTATTCCGAAGTTCGTAATTTTGCTAACATTGACGATATATAATTTTGTACCGCACAAAGTATTTCAGCAGAAAAAGAAATACACTCGATGAGAAAAAAAGAAACATTGCTTGTCATTTTAACATTTTCTCCGTTCATCGCTCTTGTATTTGTCTTTATCAAATTAATACCAGCACAATAGCGTGAAGTCGACGAACAAGAGAAGCTAACGAATTCTTCTAATTTTCAGTGCACGCAAGCTGGCTGAGGTTCTCAAATCAGAGTCAAAAGGCACCAGGAAATTACGTGTGCAAGAATTGCGGCAAAACTTACAGATGGTACAGCGGGCTACATCGTCACGTGTCTTACGAGTGTGGAAAGCCTCCTAGATTCAGATGCCCGCATTGCCCTTATCTCGCTAAACATCGATCGCATATCTATTGCCACATCAAGAACACGCATGCCGAAAGCGCGATTTACGTACTTGACATTCAACAGAAGTGACAAGATCGTCTAGCGAGATTATAACTAAACTTTATTCTTGCCGTTGATTAAGTTTGTCTCATACAAAGTTCAAATTTTAATGCTTCCTAATTTCCTTACAATTTCTTTATTTTTCCTTTACAACATCCTAGTTATTTCAACATGTTCGTTGAATCGTACTAAGAGAGGCGATTTGTTACATTGATTTGTAGATCAGCCTACTGTCTTTAGATGTACATTTATCAGATATACGTGTATTCCAATGAACAAAGATGAATGTTCCTAAACTATATTGTGAATGTTGCATAACCGCCCGTTTTATTTCGTATAGATACCGATTCTACACGATTTGACTCCACACGATTTGAGTTTACATGAATTTATTTATTTTGTTAATTTAACATTATGGTTTTTGATTAAACAGAAAACATAAAATAGTATTTATTTAGAAAAAAGACACTACAGAACACGTAAGCATTGTGTAGAATATTCTATTGGAAAATAATTGAGCCAAAGTATTACATCAAATATTTCTGGAGGAATAAATATTTGAAAGAGTTATATGTTAATATTACTGCTCATTATTAAAAATGATTATTTTTACGATGTGAGTGATGTAGAATATTTTGCATTAATTAATCATGTGTTAATTTTTTTGTAGAAAGATATACAATGTCAAATAATATTTCATTTTTCATTAGAAAAACATTGTATTAAATAAGTAAAATTAAGATTTTCATGTAAAATAAAATCATGTAGAATTGGTATCTGTATGAAATGAACGTGGCCTGCGTAAGAATGTAATATGTATTTCGGAAAATCGATAAATTTTATTGGATTGTTATCGATTGCCAAAGATAGGTCAAAGCGTTCTAAATTACTAAGGTGAAAACAATTTTTTAGCAATAACAGTGATCGATCGAAATATTGTTAACTACTTTTAAATTGTCACAAATAAACTTGTACTTAATTGACAACGCTGAGAATTTTATTTGACTTTCATTTGTTAAGTCTTACTGTATTCTATTATGTATTTAAAAGATGATGTATATTATATAATTCAAAATTCATTATTCAGGTAGCAAACGAATGCTGTAATGTATAGAAGTCAGAAGCTTTTTGTAGATCATCGATGGCGACAAACGTGATTATGGTATACTTCTTTACCATCTCCGTCAGTAATATGAATGTAAACGTTTGTAAATAATTCTTTGCTTTGTAATTAATCCTCAAAATATTACCCATGCCTAATAATAGTATATTACGATTTGTGTGACATTAGTAGCCCAATATTGCAGGGCATGATATTAGCGTCCCTGCACAACCGATAGCTATAATCACATTGTGCAACGATGGGACACTGAAGTCACAAGTATTGTACAACATTTTATAGTATTGCCGATTTTAGATCTGCACTTACGGTTCGTCTATCCATAACTTAAGATGAGACAGTTTTGCACCACGAGGTTAGGGCACCAGCCCAGTACAAGCACTGTACAAAAAAGTTATTTAATATAATTGAGTTATCTGAATTATGTAACTTAAAGACTATAAGAAAATGATAATGTTACGTAATACATTTTTATCGTCTCGTTTTACTTTTCAAAAATTTCATCATATTTTTACAAGATGCTGCGTATCTCATGCACTTCTATATATATGCCCTTCTCACACGAGTACTAATGGTTATATTTATACAACCTGTAATTGTTTTTGGAATAACCATATTCCGCATGATCTGTAGAACCATTTTAAATTAATCTCGCTAGACCAAAGCCTCCAGAAAACGTGACTTATCTCGGTGTCATTCCCGGCAGCCTATAATTCCATAAAAAAAATATTTTGTCTTTTTTGTCAACAGTCGAAGAAATCGCCGAGATGTTGATATCGCAATTCGAGAACTTTGTCGAAGTAGACCATATAGAAGAAGTGATGCTGAAAACAAAGGCATACGAGCCAAGATTCGAGACAATTAGTCAGCCTCCAGTCGTGCTGCCACCGCGGGTTCCTGCAGGTCGTCTTCCAAAATATCGCCAGAAGCAATATTATTGCTCAAAATGCCATCGCGGCTTCACGCTCAAGAGTAATCTAAATCGCCATTTTAATTTAGAATGTGGATTCAAACCACGTTTCAAATGCCCATACTGCGAGTTGAGAAGCAAGCAAACTTCGCAAATTTATTTGCATATTAGAAACCGACATCCCGGACACGAAGTTTACTATGACACTATTGAAGAGAAGGAACAACCGTGTAAACATCAAGTATAAATGTCTATCAGTCCCATATTCAAACTGTCACGTGAAATGAATCGTTGTTTCTTTGTATGTATAGATTCACAATCCGATCCAATCGGTGCAATTTAGCGTATGATTTTAAATGCCTTTCTTCTGCGATACTAGTCATTAAAGAGATATTGCCGTTTTTTTACGTTGGTGCCAAGATCACACCACGCTACCGTGATAATATCAAAGTATTAATTCCAAACCAATGCCTTATTAGTCAGAGTATAAGAGACTATATATATACGTTTAAACTTTAATAGATTTATTCAGAATATAACGCACCAATAAATATGATAATATACGAGTTACACTTTGTTTTGAGTATTTAGTCAGTTTTTGTTTGCACGTATAATGTTAATCGAGGATATTTATAAATTAGTGAGATGATTAAACCTCTTGAGACTATCCAGTTGTGGATTTTTTGGTACTCACTATTAACGTTATAAGATGTTAAAAAATGGTATTACTCAATTATTCATAAATGTTTACCACTACAATAATCTTGTGATATACTATGTATTCGATATTTCGAAATAAAGTTACTCTTTAAACGTATAAGATTGTGAGAAAATATATCATTTTATGCGATAATGATTCATATAATGTTTTCTCAATTTCTTTACAGCTATCAAAAGTAGCATTTGAAACTGGACGTTGCTTTATAACTCAACCACGTAGAATACACAATCACAATACAAAACAAAATAAAAATTCACGTTCATCGTAAAAGCTAATAAGAATATTTCTATCGATCTCTCTGAAGTACTAACGCTTTTTTCTTGTTTACAGGCTTTCATCGAATCCACTTATACAACGCTCATCCAGTGGCAAAACTATCACGCACGAACATCAACTCTACACCAGGACGTCATCCATGCGATCGATGCGGCAAAGTCTACCGCTGGTATCGTAATCTTACTACTCATCTACGTCTCGAATGTGGTAAAGAGCCAAGTGTCGTTTGCCCCTACTGTCCTCGACGGACCAAACATAGGAATAGCATGCGATCGCATATCAAAAGAATACACAAAGTACTGATGTAAGAATATCTTGCACAAGTTCCTAGTTTCGTGCTACTACATTACACAACTATTTACGTGTATACGATAATTTTGAGTGAGTTTATTTAACGGTCGACATTTTAGCTTGAGATCGATTTTTTATAAATGCAAATGCTATTCAATGAATCAACAGCAGATTTTGTAAATTTGTTTGGTGATCCGAATTTTCTTGATTTAGGAGATAAGACTTTGATGTAGTATCATGAATGCCTTATAGTATTATGAAGTTCTAGTTCGATAATAATTGTTGTATCATCAATGTATATCAATGTACGTGAAAAATTTGATATTGAGGAAATTCGAGTATATTGCCTATGTACTTATGTGACGTTTTACATGTTATTTTAGCTTAATTAAAAATTCATTTAAAAATTTATAAGAATTTATTATAAGTTTATTTAATAAAAATCAAATGAAATCTTTTTAAACATCGTTGTTTTCCTCATTATTATTTGAATCATACCTTTTTGATAAACTTGATTGTTTCTTACTGCTATAGCTTTTTATATTTTCAGGACAATCTTAAATACATCACACCATGATGCATGGAACCAAATCTTTTATCTCTCGTATTGACATAAATTGAATTTTAGGTATATTTACCAATTAATTAACTACATAATTTTATAAATGATTATCTATTTAGAAAATTGCATTCAATATAAAAATAGTAGCTAAAAGTATCAATAGTGATTGTAAAAATGTCAGTAACGCTAGATCAATCATATTTTTCACTAACTATGCATTCTTCAGCAACTTCTCTGTGCTTCAAAGAAGTGTAAGCATGTAGTTATCTCTAGATTTATTTCAGATTTTAACAAACAAACATTTTTTTTACTTTTCAGATTCTCCTATTTTTAACATGATGGTAATGGCTGATCTATCAAATAAATCTTTAAACTTACACCGTTTTTCCTGTCCTCTGTGCGACTACTGCAGCAATAGAAAGTGGAATGTAAAGTCACATATTGAACGTGTTCATGCAAAATTATTGGGTAAATCGAAAAAGCCTTAAATTTTAATTACTTGTACTTTTTTAAGACGTTTATAGCATGAATTCTTTAAAAGAAGCTCATATAGTATAGATATTTACTTGTAATTAATTGTACGGATTCATGCATAGATAACACATCACTGTCAATTTCGATAAATATTTTACGCTTTCTTTGGCAAATGTTTGAAATATAATAACGTTGATGATTGCTTTATTAAAAACGTTACTGATGTTGATACACTTGTTGAGATGACCAATCGCGTCATTTGATACATTGTTTTATTAAGAACTTTTATGCCTAAAGAATGTTGATTGAAAAATTTCTCGAATAATCGATTGAATGATAACGTTTGTAAAACTCGACGTTTCTAAATAAAGTTTTTTAAACAATTCTCGACTTTTTCATACATTACTCAATCACCTATCCAGGAATATTTTTAACTTGCCTACATGATAATTGTTTATTACAGGACGAAACTGTTGCAATTATATGTTAAATATATTTTTAACAAATGGCCTTATCGATGCCAAAGCTGACAGCAATAGGTATTTATTGCTTGTATCTGACCAATCATAAGAATAAGCTGACCAATCATAAGAAAACATGCAATAAAAAAACTGTTTCGAGATGTTTGAAGTTTTTTGAAAAATCTAATAGTTAATTGAACAAAAAATATTCATCAGTCATAATTGTACTTTGATATTTGAGTTGAATAAAACAAAAATTCAGCAAAACCAAATCTGAAATTATAATCCACATCATAATCCACATGCTAAAATTTCACCATGTGAATTGTCTGGTGAAGGGGAATCCCATCAAAGTATTGTCTATAGACTATGTCGAACCTTCCTTTACTAAATATAACATTTTCTGTCCTCAGTTTTAACAACAAGTCTGCGATTGATGACCGAGTACTATAAAATCACTAGGCGTCGATCATCAATGAAAATCACAGACACCATGAAAAAGGTAACAACAGATCATCGATGCATCAACTGTGGCAAATCTTACGCTGGAGCACGTGGCTTACAACTACATCAAAAACTTGATTGTACATTTCAGCAAAAACGATTTTCGTGTACACTCTGCTCTGCCAAATACACGCAGAACATCGCGCTTAGAAGACATGTGATGCAGAGACACAATGTTTACATTCCGCCAAAATACATGCAGCCAAAGCGAATTTTTGAATAATTGTTTTTGATGCCTCCGACTAAAGTGGACTTGTTCTACTTGTACGATGAAATTTTATAAAACTTTATCGGTGATTGAGATTTTTCACAAATTAAGAGAATCGACCGTTGAAACAGAATTTCGACTGTCTAACGTGTTTAACGAGTTTTACAGAAATTTAGAATTAACGATAGTTGCTTCTGAAGCAAGAAGTCGATTGGAAAAATATGTTTTGAAAACTTATTTCTGTTTTCGTTTTACATGTTTATTATTTACATATCTACTATTTATATATACTATTATTTATTGAGTTATGAACGAATATTGATGCTCAATATGATAATTTTCATTGACACCACACGTGTAGATTATGTAAAATATAACAATAATAAAACTCGCATTATTCAATCAAATTTTGTATATTTTAACAATGTAAAAAATACCATTGTAGAAACATAAAACACTCACTAAAACTGAACGCACAAAGCATTGGTAAGGCATCTAACACGAAATTCTTCACGCAAAATCAAATGAAAAAAGTCCACTCCTGACGAATCATCTTGCTAGCTCTCATAACTAACCCGTCTTTTTTACAGCTTATCATTGGCAGGTATGGGGTAGCCAAGAATTCAGCTCAACCTTCACTTGTCAAACCTGCGATCGCAGCTATAAGAAGAAAGTCAGCCTATTGAGACATCTTCGCTACGAGTGCGGTGGACGCAAAAGTTTCTGCTGTCATCTTTGTCCGGGAAAGTTCACGCAGAGTGGAAGTCTGAGATCACATCTACTGAAAATGCACAGTGTTTACATGCCGCCGCAGAAGAAAATTCGCTTGCGAACGTAATAATTTTCACTGGCGGCGCTTAATATTGTTTACTTTTTACGCCCAGTGCTTTCATATTCTTAACGATGTAGTATTACTATTGAATTCACACGTACCGATACTTTATTTATATGCTATACCATAGCTAAATTGTACTTATGAAACTTTATTTATTTTACATAAATAAAATATATTTTGCGCAAAAGCAAATCTCAAAAATTATTCATCGCTACGCTCCCTATTCCGTATTGTAATCCAATACTCTCACAAAATTTCATGAAAGTTGCCATCTAACGGACATGTTCGTCATTGTTTTTCAGAATACTTCATGAACTATCCACTCACCGTATACAGATCCATGAAATTTATTAGTGATCGGCCAGCCGAACATCGCTGTAACCGTTGCGGAAAAGCCTACATTTATCGGAGTAACTTGTAAAGGCATGACATGTACGAATGTGATGGTATCAAACATTTTCATTGCTCTCTTTGCTCTATCAAGTTCACACAGAAATGTAGTTTGAAAAGACATCTGCTTAAGAATCATAATATCGACGTGAAGGAGATAACGAGAGCTTGACTTATTTTAATGGCTGCAAATATTGTATTAATGTAAGAAACACTGATTATGCAGTCATTTGCTATCTTCGATTACTTGTACTTATCTACTGTAATGTATGTATAGATTATTCATATTGTTCATTGTACGCCTAAATATTTATACTATTTTTTTAAATTGGCAATGAAACACTCAATTCTTATATTTATGACTAGTAAAGCTTTAGACTAAGCCTAAAAAATGTCAATTAATAGCAGTATTATTTTTTAGCCACCGACAATCTGTTGGTTTTACCATTCATCGCATCAAATGACATCCAGATAATTACAGAACAAAAGGATTCATTAATAATAAAAATATTTTATTTCACAAAGTTTTCCATGTATTTGCAAATAACGAATCCAGGCTTTAAGTAAAATTGATTATAGCTTATAAACTGTGATTTATAAATTCATCTGAATTTATGCAATTTTTCATTTTTCCTCTTTGATTTTACTAAAAAGCAATGAAAATATTACGTATTTCTGCAGCTTTGCCTCGATTTATAGCTTCTTAATAACGCTTTTAACAATGGATTAATTCCTTGCCTGCATATTTTCAAGCAATACACTACTAACGTTAAAATAAAAACGAGCTTCAAACCTTGCTTCTATTTCTCATTGGGCACAACCAACAATCTGGATAGCTTTTCAATCCTCCAAAACATCCTAATCACTAATTGCTTATTGTTTTATATATGCTTGCAGCATATCGCAAGACTTATTCGGGTGAGCAGATGCTCGGTTACACGTGCACCAAATGCAGCAAATTCTACAAGATGTGGAGCAACTATCTGAAGCATAAATGCGAAGCTCCTGAATTCAAGTGCCTTATGTGCCCGTTCGCTGCCTTCAAAGCTTTCATTCTTCATGCCCATCAGATCGAGCAACACTTCTCAAAAGTCGGCGAACGATCATCTAATGCCAATCACGACAAATGAACAATTATTATATTTCCTCGTCGTTGTGATAAATTTTTATTCAGATTAGACTGACATTGAAAATTAGACTGAAAAATTTTTTGTGATTACTATTATTGTCATTCTGAAATCGTTCGGACTGAATTATTTGTTTTTTTCGTATGTTCCTGTAGATGGATATTTTTTCCTTATTTAAGTCAATATCTAAGTAAGTAATACATCGAATATTAAATTAGACAAAACTATGCTCTATCAGCGCTGTTTGACTTTTTTCGCAGAAAAAAAAATTAATGTTTTAAGCTGTTTTAAGTTTGTTTGATGAGATTATCTATATAAATTTATCTTATACGAAGTAAAAGATATTATATCCTTAGTCGTAGTTGCTTCTATATAATGACGTTGAGCTCATATCAATTTTGTTGCATTCGCATATCCTAATAGTTTTAATGATGTATACCTGCCATTGTAATTTTATGCTCATATAATTTACTCTACGTTTTCATTTTATTGACGTATGTGCGTACTGTTTAGTTATATTAATAAATGTATTTAATTGTAAATAAGTTTTCATTTTTCTTACCACGAATTTGTTAGATGTGCATGAAGAAAATAATAATTGATGTAGTTTTTACAAATTTTACGAACTCTTAACCTACAGTAAGTAAACATTACTAATAAATGATATTTTCAGTTTCAGGTTACAAGTATCAGGCTATTGAGACTTTTGATTGTACGAAATGCCATAAAAGTTATAATCAAAAAGCTTCTCTTTTCCGCCATTTGCGCCACGAGTGTGGCAAAGAACCGCATTTTTTCTGCCCTTACTGCCCGTATAAAAGCAAACGGAAGGATCATTTGCGACAACATGTTTTAGTTCAACATAAAACTTCTATCTTATGAATTAGTTTTTTGTATTGTAAATAAAATTTCATCAGCTAAAATAGTGAAAAGTGACAAATAAAATAATTAACAATACATAACCGTGAAGAGTAATTAATTAACGCACATTATTAACAAAAGCAGTATCCTTAATTTTGTACTCCATTTTATAAAAGAACTCTTTTGCTAACAAACATACTAATCTATTTTTCAGAAATGTGGTACCTGCCTCTACATTACCATCCCACAGTTAGTCACCAAAGTTACTCGACAACTCATATCTCTGCAGCGGCTCCAATACAAGGACACCGACCCGAGGCAAATTTCAAATGCTCCAACTGTAATCGAGTCTACTTGAGACAATCGTGCTTGAAACGTCACATGCGAGTTGAATGTGGAAAAGCTCCCAAGTATCAGTGTCAATTTTGTAAGAATATGTTTAAGTACAAACACAACTTGTCGGCTCACATGCTGCTTCACATTGAACAGCCAAAATTTGCCTGCTCGTCGTGCCCAAAGAAATTTTACAGGCGTGATAAACTTGTTGATCATGAAAGAAAATTTCATAGCCTTTCATAACAATGATAGTTTTAAAGGAAGCCTTTGAAGATCACAGATAACGACTAATCGAGAAATATATATTTTTTTATCATTAAATATTTTATTGAAACTCGACAGAAAAATCTTATGCATAACTTCGAAATACAGCCTGATTTTCAGTCAATTCTGCTTATTGATGACTAAATAGTAAACAATTGAACTATAAATAAGTTATTCATTAATAATTATTAATAATTTATTAATTAACAATAAATTATTAATAATTTATTATTCCCGTATAAAATAAGCTTAAGTTCGAGGTATTGGAGTATGACTCTTCTTATATTGGAACTAAAGAATTAGTTAAAATTTATTATTTAACGTTTCAAAACATCGCATCACGGTAAATCCATGTGTTTAAATTTAAACGTTTAATATAACGTCACCCATAAGAAATACATTGTCCTCAATTTTAAACACTTCTAAACGTTTCAATTCAGCGATAATGTATTTCTTATGGGTGACGTCACAACTACACACTTGAAACGTTTAAATTTAAACACATAGGATTTTAAGGTTTTGCCGTGGTAGATATAAGCTATGATATTAGAAAAAGATCTGAACTCAACAACTAAAGATATTTCTTGTATAATTTTACGGTTTTATTTTTGAATTCTTAAATAAGGGCAATTATACAATAGTATGATTTTAATTCTATATTGTATTTATATAATGCTCTCGGTGCTATAATTTATTTAACTTTGATTGAAGTGATTGTGAACCTAAAAAAGTAAGAAATTATTTTAGAAATTATAATCGACTTCATTGATTTACTATTTTTATACAATAATAATTTAAAAGACGTAATGTTTGATAGATTGCACGATGTTTTTGAAGACTTATTTCAATTTCTAAATATTTTTGAAATGCTTGTTTCAAAGCTATTGTATATTTGTATACGAATAAACTGTTTTAATGTTTTAAAATTGCATTACTTTATTTTTCAATACCACGTTTTAAAATGTGCATTTTTGAATTTTGATCTGTTCTTCATTAATGTGGTTGTATATCTTTTAGGTAACACTATAGAAATATTCCAAAAATTTTGTTTAATCCATAACTTTTTACTTTATTAAGAACGTTTTGGAAAACACTCAATATAAGGACTTAAAATAAAATTGACAAGTTGACTAGATATGAAGGATCAGAACAAGAATAAAAGTAAGAGAATCTATTTATTCTATTCATACCTTTAAAGCATCCATATTGTTAATATATTACTTCTGTTTTCAGGACTTCTACAAAAAACTCAGGTAAAAATATCCTTTCATCCTATGAAAACTAATATTGCAATTAATTCAACACGGAAGATTTTCTAACACGAAAAATAACATTGCTCAGCAGGCTCGCAGAGAACACTAATCAGTCATAAAACATTTTTTTCAAACGCCCAATATTTTGTTACAAATCTGAAAAACAAAATGAACAAAAAATGTACACCTTGAATAAAAACAACCAACTATACTTTTTTCAAAATTCTCAAATATGATTGGTTTTTATCTTAAATCCCTGGTCTTTAACAGAAAAGCATGTATCTAGCTTAGCAAATATTTGAGATTACGATAAAGTTCTTATTGAAAGTAAATGTTGCCTTGAAATATCTATTCGACTCTCTATTTTTATGCTTACAAAGCCTTTCACCTTAGATCTCTGTAGTTGCTTCAAATCTCAATAAAAATATAATCTTTTTGTCTTGCTTATATTACACAGACTAAAAATTACCGCTAAAAACTGAGCTTGCCAACCAATTCAGTTTATCAAATTTGACTAACCAAAGCGTAAACCTTTGTTCTAGCGGAAGACTTAAGTCTAGCGTCCAGTTTGAAATGGGCGGCAGCCTGGCAAAAGTTAGCAGAAAACGTCCCGTCCATCATGTGGAGATCAGGAATAACCCTTGGTAAAGGTTTAGATACTTCCGTTATCTCGGCAAATGAAGGTTTTAGCTGTTCAGCTTGTGGAAGAGTCTACAAACTTAAAAGCAGCTTGAGGAACCACCAGAAGTGGGAATGCGGCAAGGAACCTCAATTTCAATGTCCACATTGCGTTTATAGAGCCAAGCAAAAGATGCACATCTCACGGCACATGGAGCGCATGCACAAGGAGAAACTTTACAAGCAGGAATTGATGTAATGAGGAGCTTTCGGTGGAATTCAGATGTCTTTGTTTGACGAAGCCATTTTAAATCGAATTTTTCGAAAATCTTTTTTTAGGCAACGATAAAGCTTTATTAATGTGACAACTGTCTTCAATGCAACGTATAGCTTTCTTTACTTAACTTTTAAGAATTAATCTGATTATGCGGACAACAAAGAATAAGAGTTTTCTAATAGCTTTAGAAGTTGTCGCTGGCGAAGCTATCATAATCATGAATGTAATTCTTTATCTTTTTTACTTTAGTATTTATGCATTTATTTGAATAGCATAGCTGTTAGATTTATAAGAATTTTAAGAATTTTCTTTGATATAAGCTCTTTCGATTAACGAAAGCGTCGATGACAGAATGATGTTCGAGGCATTTTCCTGCATTTCTGAAATGCAAAACAAAGCGATGATACTGTATCATTTCATTCAGAATAGTATTATTGCTCGGTTCTTAATTTTACATATCTGAAAGAAGAACAAGATTTGGGTTATTGGAAATTTACGTGGAAGCAATGTTTGGTGCAATGATACGTTTAGACTGGACAAATTTTCGGAAAACTTGATTTGAAAAATTAGCTGTGATAAATCGAACAGGCTGCTTGATGAAATTTTCACGACGAAAATTTCTCGCAGACACGTGTTTAGGCATATCTCACGAATTATTATTAGGCTTCACAGAGAAATTATTATTGTATTGACTAGTGATTGAAAAAAAAGCTTTAAAAATTTATGATAAATTAGATTCTAAGTGAGATTCGTACTTTGAACAAATTAAAACTACGCCTCGAGCTCTAAAAAATACTATTTAAATCGAACTGTAAGCTCCGATATAACCAGTTATATTACTCTTCCATAGCAACCATTCTGGTCACTCTGGTTTCATAGTCTTTTTTTTAAACAAACGACTCCGTGTTTGCGCTGGCTCAAGACTCCATAGCATATGTCTAATGTGCATAACAATAGATTATCAAATAGTATTACTGTATGAGATACACGTGTGCTTGTTTATTTTTTTGCATGTACATATTGTCACGTCAGTTATTTATATATGTATATTTATGAACGAAAAACATCATTTATTTATTTTGAATGATAGTTTTAAAGAGATTTATACATTCCTATGTTTGATATTAGCCTCATCACATCATTATAAAATCATCATCTTTTTAACTAATGTTTATATTTATAGATTTCGTCTACTTCATCTCGTTTGTTTCACACACGGTAGCTTGTCAGTATTTTACATTTTAGATTCCAATAGTAGCAATTACGCTTTACCAAATAGCATAGTGGCGAACAATGCATAAGTACCGTCAAATACTCTTCACATATAATATTTCTTATAGATTGAGCCAACAGCACAACACGGACGTTTAACTTCCCATACGAAATAGCCAATGTATACGATGCAAACTATATCAAATGAATTAATAATAGCGCATAATCAGTAGTTAGTAAGAAGAAATAGGCTCGTAGAGTATTTACAAAGCACTTTTTTTATATTTTTCATATAATCCGTAGATGAATAAGTTTATATATTACATTAGTTCAACAATTTGAGGCTACTCTGATTTTAACACAATTTAGGCGACAGTACAAAACGAGAAATATCTAATATAACAAAGCTCTAATAGTCTCAACAGAATTAACGCCTAGTGCAAAAACTGACGATTATAAAAAAAATGTCATTAAACGTTTGTGCCTCATTAGTAGTACTGTAACAATAATAAATAGTAAAATATTTTTTAAATGTCAGTGATTTTTATAGGATAAGTAACTATATTATTAGATTTTAAAAAGAAGCTTCGATTTTAATGAGATATATAGTGAAGGTTATTCAATTTATATGTAATTTTTGGCTGACCCAGTATAGTATTGATTTTAGAAATTATGAGCTTTAAATTTGAAATGTTTCATAAAAATAAGATAAATATTTAGAAATAATATATTGCAGTAATAAATATTTTCAAATTATATAATTCGTGAATTGACAATGTAAAATTTCTAAGAATACATTATATCGAAGCATGCAAAATAACCCTCTCTTTGGGTTCACATTGCTTTACTACAAAAAAATATATATAGAGCGATTTCATGGCGAACGAAGCTGCAATAACCAAAATCTAAATTTGGAATAAAATTATTTATATTGATATTATGGCTGAATGAAAGCTTGTCTTTGATATTATAACAGCAAAATCTTCAAAAATTTGGATCGAACCTTGTAAATTGAATTTCGATGAATATCAATTTTCTAAAAAATAAATAAAAAACGTCTGAATGTGATTTTTTAGGGCTTTTACCATGACATAACTATGTTCAATAGCGTTCCGGCAAAGTTATCACATATTAATTTAAAATTTAACGTAGATCGTTAATAAGCAACATTTAGCGCAAAATTTCTAGTGAAATTTAATAATTTTATGAGAGACCATTTCTTAACAACACAACCTGATTAAGAGCTTTGTATTTTTAGACCAACGTATATGTAGTTATTTTAAGAGTAAGAAATACACATATATGTTATAAAATATTGTCATAGTAATTAACGTATACAAATATCAAGAATTCAATAGTTTTCGACTCTATGAATTTGAAATAGGTCCAAAAAAGAGCCTTGCGCTACGTGCCTTCAGTGTAAAACAAATTTAGGCTATACAATTCTTCGAACTGCCTTTTACAAATTGACACTGCCATTTATTTTTTTCTTAATTTATTGTTTGTAATATCATTGAATTAATTTTTCTGATAGATAAGTTATTATTAAGTATTTACATTATAGTAAATATCTTAAAATGATTACGCCATAATCTGTCTATTATAATTATTAAGATGATAAAGACAATTTTCTTAACGAATATATTTGTCACTTTAATTTCATTATAAAACATTAAAAACAACAAAAAATAATGTCACTTTATAATTTGAAATTTCTCACTTTCCTCTCAACTGGTCAAACATTCCAATACGTTTGCTTCTCAATAATTTATACTATGAATTGTAAACGTTTTATTATATTGCGTTTAAACAAATAAAATATAGAATTCTAATTAATATGCTGTTTTTATTTCCAAACATAGCAAAAACACAAAATTCTTTATTTTGTTAATTTTATTTACTGAAATATGAGTTGGGTGTTCATTGGTTGAATGTTTCCTCAATGTCTTCACAAAATATCAATTCACAATATTTAAGAGAAATATTCATAAATTTATTAGCATAAATCCCAAGAAACACAGTAAATATTTATGCATTCATTTCACTAATCATATTATATATTTTTCAGGTCTTGGTATTCCTATATTTTATTGCCATATTTGCGGAAGAATGTATACAAGGAAAGATACATTACAGCGTCATTTACGGGTTGAATGTGGACAACTTCCAAAATTCATTTGCCATTTCTGCGAAAAGGCATTCAAACAAAAATCAAACTATCAAAGGCATATGACAACTGTTCATAGGTGAAAATACCACTATGACGATAACATAATTATATGATTGTTGTAAAAAAACAGTATAGACGTAGTCTATGAAAAATATATTATGAAAAGTTGTATTGTAATTTGTAAAAAAAATAATATTCACATGATACTATGTTTTTTCTTTTATTCCTCGTTTTAGATTTATATATACGTCTTCAAAAGATTGTGATTTCAAATAAGTGTATCTAGAGCGTGAGACACATTTTTTTATAATATTTTTAGGCACTGTTCGGAAATGAATATTAACATCGCATAACAAGTTTGTTAGTAAACGCTAACTATCACTATTTTATATTCAATGTGAATTATAACGATTGGTGTAAAACACTGTATTTTTTATTATTTTGTACCAAACAAAATATTGAAAATAAATATTGGTGAAATCATTTATAACACAAATTGATGACAAAAGTACTTAACAAAATGAACTTCATGATTATTCTCACCTAATTCAATCAACTATTTTTACGTTTATTATTACTTCTATACATAGCCATATCATCAGTAATTCGATGTACGTTGGCGTTTTACGATTAAAATCAGAGGATTTACGTTCACTGCAACAAACCCTACTCCAACAAAAAAAAACTTTAAATGACACATGAATATCGGTAAAGAATCGCAGCATTTGAAAGATAACAATGCTACGATTTACGACGAGTTTTTCTTAAATTGTGCATATGTTTCAGAAGGCGCAGCTACAATTTCAACAACTACTCTAGAAACTGACGATACGTCAATTTATTTATCAGATAGCAATGAAGAGGCTCTGAATACTTCAAATGAAGATTTGTTAATATATATTTTATATATATTATATATTCGAAAGTGAAATTACTAAAAATGTTGCTTTGGTAAAAAAAAAACATTAGATACTGGTGCGGTAAAGTAAAAAAAAGTGGCGTTAAAAACATTAGAGAGGTTCTTTTGTCAACCCCGAAGACCAACTCAAAAAAGTTAGAAGAAATTTCGGTGATTCCAATTGTTATCGATATTAAAAAATACGACGAAGATTTTATGAATTGTAATTCTGACTGCTAAAGTTAACGAATTGTTGTAATTGATGGATTTTTAAGAATAAAATAAAATAAGTTAATAGGTCAATAAATTGGGAAATTATTTTTAAAATTAAACCAATCAGGGACTTAGTGAGATAAAAAATAATTATTCTAATTTTCATTCATATTATGGTTTTTGAAAATGTTATGTTTAGTAAAGTTTAATCGTAAAGTTAAACTTGTAGGTTATTACAATTCATCATTTAATAGTTTGACAGAGAAACGTTTCTAAAATGTGTGTTATTAACTATTAAATATTTATAAAATGAAACTTTGCTATTGAATCTCCTATTAATGAAAAAGGTATTATTGTTATAAATAATGATTCATACTCGAAAAAGTGAATAGTACACATGTATGTTTATTATAGTGATTTTAACTAAAATGTCATATTTATTGCCAATATTTCGTAACGTTCAGTCTATAGATATTACTGTGGATTGTACAATAAAATTACACTAATTGTCAAATCTATATTTTTAAATTTATAAGCTAAATATTCAGCATATTTTTCAAAATATTGGACTTTCTTTTTCGACTTCTATGTTGGTTCAAGATCAAAAATATGCTTTCGATGTACACATTACTAATTTGAGGCTTAAAATTGTTGTTCGTGTCTTGAAGTTGTCTTTATCATAAATATCTTCTTCTGTAACTAAAGTGCCCGTTGTAAATGTTGCATCAGAATGTTCCGTTGAAAATATCATGCTGAGAGCATTTTATAATTGTTATTCCAGGTTTTGAAGATATGGTCTTCCAGTGTGATAGGTGTCCGAAACAATACAAAACAAAAGGAACTCTGGTGCGTCATCAACGAAACGAATGTGGCGGTTTGCGTCAATTCGCTTGTTCAATTTGCGGTAAAAACTTTAAACATAAGCATCACGTCACTCAGCATATCGTTAGAGTACATCACTGGGGAAAACAACCTACATAAATGAAATCTTCATAGTTCTTCACTAAATACCGATATGCATTAATTATACAAATTATTTATTTATATTGTACTTTACAACTAAGAAACAATATGTTCGCGATATGTACAAAAATTTATCATAAAATTATTCTGCAATTAATTACTTCATCATTTATTCAGTTCATTCACCCACTCATATGAACCGATTAACATAATCATATATCATTAGGTGATAATCCTTCTACATTGTTATTAATCAGATTCAATTATCACATCCATTATTATATATTTGAAGAAATAAATCATCAAATTGAACATTACAGTCTTTTTGATAACCAATCTCCACTATATTACTCTTTCGCTAACAACATTATCTCTTGATGATATGTCAAAGTTTTAACGACAATGATTACGGATACTTTGTTTCTCATACCATTGCTGTGGTCAAGCGTGCTGAGTGAGAGCTTCTCTCACTCAACATCAGAAACGAAAGTAGAAAAAGCAGAAAAATACACCCTTGTATTAAAAAGAAAAGAAGTTTTTATTTTAGACTAAAAATACAATATTATTATAAAGTCATGTTGTAATTACTTTATTGCAATTTGAATTATTGAAATACAATTTCTGAAATAAATCAACAACACCGCAGCTGACTATCCGCAGGTATTTATTAAGTTATCCATTTTACTTCTGTTTCTTATCTCATTTCGACTGCCAATAACAATTAAAATAACTATTACTCAATTATTTGGATTACAGACAACAAAAATTCAGCCTTCGCCAAATACATATCTCCCACAGCGGCAGATCGTACCAGTACAAAAAGACACTTTTACGACACGTACGTTTGGAATATAGCAAAAAATCTCAATTATCGTGCAGACTCCGTGGCAACAAATTCAAGCACAAGCATCATTTAATCAATTACATAGCATCCCTTTACCGTTAGTAATATATATTGAAGACGCGCTACTAATTGTAAAAAAAAATGTAAAATAAAACTTTTCATTGTCAATCTCAGTCATATATATTATACTTCTTTACGTACATACTGACTAACTTGATCTTCACTTTATTTTCCACTAAACCTATTTTTCACTTTCCAATCAAACAAGAGGAAAAATTCCGTTGGACATATTACACGAACCCAATCTCCTTGTTTGCAGGTATGTTGGTGTCGATGCTGCTTGCTGGTGATTTTTCGGCGATCCAGGAAAAAGCTAAAAGGCCACATGCTTGCGTACGTTGCGGAAAATCTTACATGGCTGCTGCTTCTTTGAGTCGACATCGACGACTTGAGTGTGGTGTTCAACCGAGCGAAGTTTGCCACTTGTGCGATCGAAAGTTTAGGCACAGATTTGTACTGAAACAACATGTATTTAGTTGCCAGCGACGATTTTTTGCGAAGAAACCTACATGAACTTTCGGACAAGATGAATTGTTATTATGCGGAAATGCAATTAAAAATAAATAACATTTGTTTTTCTATGAACTAGTACAAACAGATTTTGATGATATTTTCCGGACAAATGAAAAAAAAACGGTGGTTTAAAATAAATATTTAGCAGATCTTCATCTAACGCGTTTTACTTCAGTGATTCCAGTCTGCGAATAATATACTTACAAAGCTTTATATTTAATCTGCTTTTTCAAATCCTTAGATGTATTTATTTGTAAAGTCAGTCGTAGGATAGTTGTCTTTTTGTAAATTTTATACGATAAAAATATTACATTATTTGTTATACCATTAAACAGCTCGCAAATAAAAACAAGTTACTTGTAAAATTGCTCCCTGCTTACTTAATTCTTGACTTTCATCACTGGATGTTGAATTTGTTATTTAATCTGTTTTGAAAACCCTACATAGTAGTAGAGAGTACGCCGGAAAAAAGTAAGATTGACTGTAACACGTTCGTGTAGTTTCTATGTAAATTAAATGTGTACGTCAATGTAGGACTTTCAAATCAGGACTTAGTAAATATCAAATCTCACTAATAAAACTATCATCTTTAACAGATTTTTACTCTGAGCTGACAGTCGATCCACTGAGTGAAAATACCCCTATAATGCCACGCCAACGAAATCGACGAGCACATCAACCCCATCAGAACTTCATTTGCGGCCAGTGCTCGAAAGGATACACTCGCATGGAAAATTTGTATCGCCATCAGAAACTCGAATGTGGTGTTCAGCCGAAATATAGTTGTGAACTGTGCTACAGATTTTTTTACAGACGATATCAATTGACCAATCACAAACTATTGAAACATAATATAGCACCTAGTCCAAGGTGGACCAAAGAGAAGAAGCATTGAAGGTTTTATTATTGCTCGTTCTAAAGTCATTCCTCATCAATTGTATTTTCTTTAACGTGCATATGATAATAATATGATGTAAAAATTTTATATGCTAAATTATAATTATGGATTATAATATTATGTCAAAGACATATACATATATACATGGTTTTCTACAAAATATATTTAATGATGGCAGATTTCGATTATCTTCACTTATAATGATTGGTCTATGAATAATATATATTCTCTTCAAAGTATTTACAATATATACATGTAAGGAAAATATTTAAACATAAAAACATATTTATAATATTTATAAATTATATCAATAAATCTGTATTTGAAAAGAAAGCGCTACAATTTTTCTTTACGAACAAATACTATAAAGAAAATCTAAATAATTTCTGCAGGATTTTCGCTTTACTAATCAATTCAATTTTTATTTCCCTTCTTTCAGATTTCCAACTATTACTGCTTGCACTCGAAGACATCAGCGATATCCTCAAAGAGATCTTACGGAATCAGATTAAAGGCTGCTCAGCGAAACTTACAAGTCAGCCTGTCAGTAAAGTTAATCAGCCTAAAACAAACGTCGACGTAGTAGCCGGTGACCTACACTTGGACACGATTTGGAGTGATCGCGAGTTTGCGGAAAAGTATGCACTAGAGCTACCTCTGAAAGAGCTTTGTGACTTTTTGATGTTTGATCAGATTTTGAAAGAGAACCCGGATGTACGGCGCGATTTTGTGAGTTGTTTGGATATTTTCTCCACAGAGTTCCCGGATCGACGTGAAAAGTGACTTACTTATGCGTTTTAGATGTCCATGCTACCATGTTTAGTCGATCGACACAATCTCATCTCAAAAAGTACTACGAACATCTTGAGAAAATTCATTTCGAGATCCGTTGTCATGAGATTCACCGTCCAGAAGAAAATCAGCGATAAAATCATTTTGAAGGACACACAGTTCTGCAAGTGTGCTGTAGGTAAGCCACGCGAAAACTTTTTTGTAAAATCTCTATTGCAGAATACCAATCGAACGAACGACCTTTCAGATGTGCTGATGAAAATGCACAGAGATAATCACAGTGATCTAGTTACTGAAAAAGACGTCTTTAGCGCGTTTGGAAGTTCGCTCAACAATGCCAAGGATTGGGACGGGTATCGCTCGCAACGCAAGGAGAAAAAGACATCTGATAACAATCAAAGTTGAACTGGCAGCATTTTTTTCTGTGATTATTACGTTGTAAACGTAACTATATATATTAACATGTGAAATGATGTGACTATTAGCAAGTACATGGATTAAAATTTAATAAAAATAAAAAAGTCTCGATTGATCTAAAACAATATTTTCTTCTATTTCTAATTTTGTTTTATTTAAAACTGCAACGTTCGATGCCTCGCCAAGCACAGGTATATCCATGCATTCCATAACTTATACTTTCACTAAGTCCATTGATATTATTTGTTTCAGACTTGTATCAACTCCAGAGCTTCAATCGTTTTCCATGTCATCAGTGCTCCGCAACATTCTCGAGAAAGGATAATCTACGCAACCATCTGAGATTTCAATGTGGTAAACTACCGAGATTTTGCTGTCCTCACTGTGGCTATCGAACTAAACACTCGCCCAATGTCAGGACTCATATCAAGAGGTTGCATCCAGGCTTGGATATTTACATTGTTGATCTTGAAAAATATAGACGGTTGTAAAAAGATTCGAAAATCCGCATCGTTTTTGTTAAAAATTTGTTTATTTTAACATGTATAAATCATTATTTTTTTACGTTCAACTTGAAGTTCAATAATTTCACATACTTTAGTGTTTGTACAACTGAACTAAGTTAGTTTAAATATATAAAAACTTAAATCGTCAGGATGAGATATTTATATAACACAATTTTAAATAAAAACTCTTATACAAAATTAAGGATTGACTTCTTACAATAAATTATACTTATTCCGCAGAGGTAAGTTAACCCAGAAACTAGAATACTACTCACAAGTTTCTCCAGAATGAAATGTAGTTACCATAAATCGTCTACCTGTATTTATTTTCCCTTTTATTTTAAAGCATGCCAACCAAGCTAAGCTTCATCACCAATCTAACGAATTCCTTTCATTCGCAGATGCCAATTGGGATTACCTTCGTGTGGTGGAAATCGAAGATATGTTAGCGTCTGGCAACGTCGTCCGTCGCCGACGCAGAGGCAGACCACCGACTGTTTCAGAGGACTTTAATGCTGCTGATCAACTCTTCCCATGTCCTAACTGTCCTAGTCGTTTCTCTTACGAACGTGGTCTTCAGCAACATCTTAAATATGCTTGTTATCAACGTCCCAGATTCAAATGTCCGTATTGCGATTATAAATCAAAGTATCGATACAATGCTTATAATCATACGAGAAATACACACAAAGGGTTGGATGTGTTTTGCATTGATGTAAAGGATGATCAAGGATTTGATGCGTAAAAGATGTTAAGATTGTCATTTTATTTTCGCGTGCGGCTGGAAGGAAAAGATATGAATCGTATTGTATTTGGAAAATCTGCGGTACCGAAACCAAAAACTTGTACTTATTGTCAATCTTGGATCAATCGGGTATGGTAATTATTTGATTGTAAATACCTGTTAACATAAAGATAATAAAAGAAATTATTGAAAATATTATCTTGAGTTGTACCTGTTTATTCAAAAAATTTTTTTATTATATAGTTTATAAAATTCTTATTTCATGACTTTCTTTTGAAAAGCGTCGTTTATTTTTTTATTATGTTAGAATAGATTCTTGAAGTCAAAATTGATTTTGATATCATTTAAAAATTCTTATCTCCTCTCGTTAAGATTTCACGAGAAATATTAGTGAGAAATTATTAACTTTCTATAATATAATTTTTCTAAAACATGATTCTAATTAAAAGTCATTTATAAATTAGTCTACTGCATGTGAATAGTTAAATAATATCTTATTTCATAAGAAAAACACATGTAATAATATTTATTCTATTTTTTAGAGTGGAAAATGGAGGAGTTTGATGTACTGGATGCAACGGGTACTAAAAATTTAGAGTCATATTCTACTTGCGACTCGCTGTATACTAATGAAGAGATTGAAATTTCACGGTTTAATCCTAATTGGGATCCTTTCAATAATAATAGTCAAGCTGACAGTAAGTAATTTTTTTTCTTAAAGCTTTTATTTCATACCATTTCGTACCATTTCGAAAAACTGATTACGTTATTCTATATTACAGAATTGTCATCGTTTCAATTTATCCCTACAGCTCGAAGAAAAGATGCGTTGAGACAAAATGTCTCCATCAAAAAATATCCTTGTTCAAATTGTTCGAGCGTTTACAACAGACAAGATAATTTAAGGCAACATATGAAATACGTTTGTAATCAAAGGCCCAGATTCAAGTGCCCCTATTGTGACTATGTAGCAAAATGGACGTTTAGCGTTTACGGTCATGTGCGAAACAAACATTGCGATATGAAAGTTGGTTACGAGCATGTAGAAAAGCCGGGAACAGTGATATTGTTAGAAAATCGATAATAATAAACACTTAAATACTTGCTATGTTACGTATTTATTTTTAATTATAAACTTAACAGTATTATAATTAGTATTTATATATTAATATAACTGTAAATACTAGCATAAATATAATATTAAGTGTATAATAGTGAGCCTACATAAAAATAAAACAAAGAAAAATGTATTTCACGAAGCCGTTCGATGACGTCACAGCCGCGATGACGCACAATGCGCTCGCGCACGTTCATAGGCGAAGATGCCCTTCTGGATAACGTTGAAACCTGGAATCTAATTGTGGAAAAAACACGGAACACGCGTATTGCTTTTCCGCATCTCCACACTGTTTTAACAAAGTTTTTGTTTACTTTTAATTTCCTCATCGTACGCAATACAAATAACGCTTTGCATACAAATAACGCTTCTCGCATACAAATAACGCCTCGCATACATGCATAGCCCTAAACACTCGCAATACAAATAAAGCTTAAAATTTACTTAGCCTTAAAAACTCGTAACACATTATAATTTAATCTCAAACTTGAAGCGGCGTAGAAAAAACAGGCAGCTTATCTTTTTTTATTTGTCACGCCTTTTCGGCTCGATCTTGTCGAACTTGTTGGATAATCGGTCTAAGTCCCTCAAACAAACAAAAAAATGGCTCGATGGAGACAGCGTATGTCGCGCACGTGGGCCCGTACTGGATATTTCGAATTTTGTTACGCGGCTGTCTCGTCGCTATCGTTCAGTTGGCACGTGGGCTCGAAAGACACATCCCCCGATTTTATGGCTTTCCGAGCACATCGTTTTTTTTTTGTTTTGTGTCACGCGTCCAATCCTTATTCTAATCCCATTAATTTTTTTCTCGGGAACAACGACACAGACTGCGACGTTTTTTACCACAAAGATAATTTTGCGTATATAATTCAAGACTGTTTTCATGTATCAACTAGTGAAATATACTTCATTCGATGACACCCGCTCATGTACCAATCCTACTAAAATTTTCGATATATAGTACTGTAATTCTGAATAGTCGTTATAAAGCCAAGAAAAATGCGAAGTAAATACTTCAATGTAAAAAACTAATTTAATTTAATTCTCTTCCAATACTGTAAATATTGTAATACACTTGTAACTCCTCTACCAAAAATTAATCTCTCCTAACATAATCTTCCTCTTTTCAGATCAACTGTACAACCAATTGACTTACGACCAACAGCCCTATACATTCGTAAATTTATCAAGCGAAGAAATTTTCATATGTCAGCAATGCGGCAAACAATACAAAAGACCGAGTACTCTCCAACGGCACATCGACTACGAGTGTGGTAAACCGGCGAGGTTTGGATGTACACACTGTCCGTATAGGACCAAACGCAAAGATTCGTTGAAGACACATAATGTCACGTGTCGAGGAAGAAGAGATAATTATATTTAAAGCACAAAGCACGAGAGCGCTGTGATTAGTATGTAACTATTGTAGAGATATCTTTGTATAATCTTGAAGAGAAATTGTCTTTTGTGATACACGAACAAGACTAATTGCATTTATGTAATCATACGATTGATATTAGTGGAAAAAGGTTTATTATTGTTATTATTATTGTTAATCTAACTTATCGTTGGAGAAGATTTATTATTTTCTATGCGTAAAGCTGAAGTATTGAGCAAAATAACACTTTCTCTCTCTCTCTCTCTCTTTCTCTCTCTCTCTTTCTCTCTCTGTTACAAATTGCTTAAATCAATTAAAAAGAACCGGGGGAATATTAATATCTTAAAAAACGAAGATAAATTTTATGTTTTTCAATAAATTTAGCGTTGGAATATCGACAGTTAAAAATGCTTCAAATGAAAATCAACTATTTTTGTAACGACTACTTCATCACTGTAACAAATTGATCGAAATATTTCTAAAATAAAATGAAATAATTAGCAAACCATAACTTCAATTTCTATTCTCTCCTCACTCGCGACTAACAAAAGCCATCCCAATAAATTGATTTGTACATATATTTTTATCTCGATGTCCGATACAACGTTCAACTAATTATCATATTAAATTTTTGTTCCAGATCCACTCTTCATATCCAATGCAGTTCCACAAGACAAACATTTCTTAAACTACGACCCTATTCGCGGAGCTTACATATGTGAGCAATGTGGCAAGGCATACGAGTACTCGAGTAATCTCGGTAGACATCAGAAATTCGAATGCGGAGTTCAACCGAGATTTTGTTGCGACTATTGCCCCTACCGGTGCAAACAAAAAGCCAACATGAAGAAACATGTGGCGATGAAGCACAGAGACAAAGAGATGAGATATACAGAAATTGAGTTTCCTACAGACATAAGTTTGAAGGGAGGATATGTTGTATGATATTAGAGTCTGAGTTAGATTGATTAGTTGTAGACATATACGTTTAAGGATCCCAGGATTGTTTTACGACACTATGTAATTCAGTATTGACGTCACAATCATCAATCGAGCTGGATATTATGTTTTTCAAATAAACTAAAATAAAAACATGTAAATTACGTATTTTATTTGATAATTTTTATATTTTCTCTGTATATTTTACTATCTTCTATAATATTTCGCAAATCAATCATAATCAATAATTTTAATTAATTTAAATAATATAACACGCAACGCACTTTATTAAAAGATCCTCTAATATTCATCCGTTTTCGTTGTTTTAGATGACACATTTGGCGAAGAGTTCAAATTTGTACTACAATCCAGTTAGACTATTAATCCGACTCGTCCCCATCGAGTCATTATCAATAACTAAGAAAAATACTAGAATGGCTGATTATATTTGCATATAGTGTAACAAATTTTACCAATTTAAAGAGGGATTTACGAAACATCCGCGTCGTTGCCCCAAAAAGCAAGTCTATTTCTGCGATTATTGTGATTACTCTACCATGTGGAAAGGAAATCTAATAACGCACGTAATTGTGAAACATACGATTTCGAGGAATTCAAAATAAAAGATTGTAACCACTTAGAAAAGCAGAATAAAAATATATTTATATGTGATGCATGTAACAAAGTTTACATAGCCTCCAGAACTTTGTGGGCCGATGAAAAGTACAACTGTGATAAAAAGCCAACTTTTTTTTGGAAATTTTGCGACTACTATTACAAGTTCAAGAGTAACTCTACCGTGGACATACAAGGTCGTCATGAATTTAATGCGAAATATAAGTGTCATAAATGTAATAAAGTATATAACCACAGAGTGAGCCTTGTGAATTATTATAAGTACTCGTGAAAGGATAATTATAATTCAATAATGTGATGAAATTGTTATGATGAAACGCATGATAGTTGAATCTATGAATAAAGAGGTAAACGCAGCTCGTATACTAATAAAGTATATCGAAAATTATATATATAACTGTATAATTGATGACTCTTGAGAAACAGTTTGTACAGCATTTGTAATAATTTTAAAGTAACGTTATACAGTTTGCTTATTAATACATGTTTTTCTCATAGAACAATGCTACACTACTAAAATCCTTAACTAATATGTATATACTCAAGTTTCTGAAATATATTCTATTGTATGTCTGAAAATATATTTATAAGAATTTCGTGTAAAAGCTTTTCTTTAAGAGAGGTTTCCAATGCCACTGACGTTTTTAAGTAAATTAAGTATTAACTTTAATTCGTTTTACTTGTTTCAGATATTGAAATATCGGAAGAATTCAAATACTCACCACTTGATGCGCAACAACTTCACGTACTTACCGACCCTCTTTCGAGTGTCTCATCGAAACGTGCCGTTGGCCACAAATGTCCAAAGTGCAATCAAACTTTTAAATGGAAGGAAAGTTTGTATCGACATTTGCAGGAAGAATGTAGCAAGCGACCGAAAGTTCCTTGTGATACTATCAAAAAAAAAAAGGTTCTCACTAAGCTCAATGATGTTTGCAATTTGAAGAAAGATTACAGATGCGAAACCTGTTTTAACATGTATAGATCGAAACAATCTCTAAATCGACACAAGAAGTATGTGTGTAGTCGAAAACCGAGATATTACTGTGAACATTGCGGTTACTCTAGCAGATATAAAGGCATTGTTTACAAGCACAATCTGTTTACACACGATATATCAAAGGATTTAAATATCGTCGATGAACAATTCCTGAAGGATTACGTATGCGAGAAGGAACCGTGTTATTACTGTGATCATTGCAATTTTCATTGCATGCAGATAAAAAGACTCATCAGGCATCTTGAGATAAAACATGGATTTCCGGAAAACAAGATTATCAAAAGCAGCGCAGGCTAATCCAATTAATGTAAAAGTAATTATTATATTTTGTTTGCTTCCATTAAATATTTCTGAAGCTCTCTATGTTAACATTTTTTTCGTTTTGGACTATATATTTATTTGATTTCGAAATTTTATACGAGACTACCGTGCCGTTTGTTAAAACATTGTTACTTAACAACTAATTGAATTACTTGATATTACTTGCAACATTGTATAATGGTATTAAAATTTTTTAAATATTCATTTTTCTAAACAATATTTTGGATATATTTTTATTCTACACATTTTGCACATTAACGTACAATTTGCACTACTTTCTAATTATGCTTACGTTATGAAAAAAAGTATGTTATGGTTATATATCTGTTAGTCGATTGTGTTTTTTTGTTATTATTATTGTGCTCAACTTACTGAAAATTTAATAAAAGAATTTATGTATAGTTTCTGTTGTTTAAAAAATTTAAATTGCGGATCAATTTAGGTATATCCCACCAGAAGCATTACAATTTTATACATATGACTAATTTCTCTTACGTTTACATTAGATAGTATCAGTCGAAACACATGTCACATTTACAGCAAAATGTTTATAGCCGATGGATTTTTGGGCACTTACGTAAAAAATTTAGAAAGCAAAGTATCTAATTTTTCTAGCAATAATAACAAAAACAGGTAAAATCTCATCAAACTTATTGAACAAAGAGTCAATTATTGCAGTTTAAGAAAGGAATTCGAATGCGAAGCTTGCGTCAAAACGTTCATTGGCAAAACTGGTCTTGAACATCGTACAAAACATCCAAATGTGAGCATTACAGTTTCTCGGGCTCGTGAAAAATAGATTTTATCATTCTCATTAAATTGGAAAACGAACCCCCAGAACATTTAAATGAAAACAAACAATAAAGAGCGACAAACGAAGCAATACGTGTGCACAGCTTACGCCGAAGATTACATCTGGAAATTAAATATGACACTACATAAAAAGTACGAATACGGCAAGGCTACACGATTTTACTTTTGCAGATTGAAAAGAAATCTCTGCAGGTATATTAAAAGGATGCATAATGCTTTAAAAATCTTGAATGAAAGTAACGAAAAGGATACAGACAGACTTAAAAAGTTATTCGAATGTGCAAGCTGTAACAAAATCTGGTGTGGTAAGGTACCAAATTACTTTTGACTATATTGTGACTGTTCCTCAAGCGTAAAACTTTGAAAAACCATGTTAGACGGCTTACGGGCCAGTTCTAAATGCAACAAGCAAGTTAAAATGTTCAAGTATAAGTGTCACTTGCATCAACGTGAACTCTATGATTATCAAAATTAAAATAAATGCATTTCGATTCATATTAGTTAAAATTTGATATGGACCAGATGTTTTTTGTTAAATTACAAGTTCTTTATTTCTTTTTTATCGACTACAAGTCATCTGCCTGAATGAAAAGTAAACTATCTTCATCGAAAAAAGAGGCCGAAAAATATTATTAATGTTAATAATATTATAAGTAAATCATATCTAACGAATTCATATGCTTTGCACGTAATCCACGCATTGCATACGTAATAATAACCGTTTTGTATCTATTTGAACTGATTCGCTTTGATTTTATACGCTGGTAAACATGTTGTTAAAAAAGATAATATTTTAATAACCAAGTCTCCAAAATATACTGTATTGCTTAAGCCTTTTATCATATACTGTTTAATTGAAAGTAGTTATTGGATAGGTGTTTTTGAGTCGTCTTGCTATATGATTAACTCAAAGACAGACTAAATATTATATGATTCTAATATTAACCTGAATGGTTTTCTTTGTTTCAGAAATTGAAATCGAGGAAGAATTCAAGTACATTCCACCAGAGGCACTGCAATCTTACGTAAGCATCAGTCCTCTTTCATCGCCATTAAAACGTGCCAGCGGTCACAAATGTACCAGGTGCAGACAAACTTTTAAATGGAAGGATAACTTGTATCGACATTTGCAAGAAGAATGTAGTGGGCGACCGAAACTTTCCGGCTATACCAACGAAACTAAATCAAGTCTCAGTCAACAAAAAAGCGATTCTAGTTGCAAAGAGTACAAATGCGAAACCTGTTGCAAAACTTACAAATCGGAAGATGCTCTAGTTCGACATAGAAAGTATGTGTGTGTCGAGAAATCGAAATTTTTTTGTGATCAATGCAGTTATTCGAGTCACCGAAAAAATAACGTTGATAGACACACTCGATACAAGCATGCTCTTTCGAATGATGCACCACTCGAAAAGCCTTATGTGTGTGTGACTTGCGGGAAAAGGTACAAATGGAAAGGGAACCTAACTCAACATTTGAGACTAGAATGTGGCAAAAAACCAGGTTTCTTCTGTGCCTTTTGCGATTTTTGTTGCAAACAGAAAGGAAGTCTTGCCAGGCATATTGGATTCAAACATGGATTTGTCAAATCCAATAATAACAAAAGCAACAGTTCGGTGTCGATTGGTGTGACATGCGAGAAGTGTGGTAAAACCTATGGTTATTTAAGAAATTTGTGGTATCATCAAAAGTATGATTGTGGCAAAAAGGCAAGCATATTTTGCACATTCTGCAGCTACTCCTGTAAACACAGGGAAATCTTGAAAAAGCACATTCAAAATCAACATCAAAGAGATGATTCTGTGCTTAGATACTCGTGCATAAAGTACAATAGATCGTACAAATACCAGAGCAGCTTACGTTCCCACGTAAAATACTTGTGTCAAAAATAAAATTAAAAGAACATCTCTTCAATACACTATTCGTGATTAGTTTATCATGAATATTAAATTTGTAGATGTTTCCACGGTATAATTTATTTTACTTTGGACTAATTTTTTTAAAATATTAAACTATCTACAATGTATGATTAAGTACATACGGTAGCGAACTAGTTCACCATTTCTTTAATTGTAATTACACATTTATTTACTTTTATAGATTTATATATATGTATAATATGATTCTTGATAAGACATTAGTATTAATTGATTTATTACTAACTAATTTATCTTCTATATAACTAGAATAATTGTGAAAATCCGAACGCTGATATTATGTTGTATGCGTTGGTAAATAAAGTATTTTTATATCTACATTTACTTCTTCAAATGAATTTAGAGATTGAATATTGAGTAATAACTATCTTACAAATATTCCATGTAATCCAAGCATTGTATATGTAATAATAATCTCTGTATATTTATTTGAGTTGGTTCCTTTGATCTTTCCTACTCATGAATGTGTTGTCAGAAAAGATCTAAAATTTCAATAATCAAGTCTAAAATGTATTACCTGTGTCTTATCTATGCCGCGTAACGTTAAATTTAAAGTAGTCAGTGGACAGGTGCCTTCGAGTCGTCTTGCTAATGTGACTTACTCAAACATGCCACGCGAAATTTAATATAGTTTTAATATTAACCTGAATTATTGTTCATATTTCAGAAATTGAAATTGAGGAAAAATTCAAGTACAATCCGCAAAAAGTACCACGACCTGACGATAGCATTTCTCTGTCATCCTTAACAAACAATGGAAAGGGACACCAATGTTCCATTTGCAATAAAAGGTTCATTACAACAAATTTTTTGAATACTCATGTGGTGGAACGTGAACTAAATAAACTATTCGGTATTTCAAAATTATTTAGAAAAATATTACCAAACACATCAAAGTAAATCATAAATTTTCAAAGAGCTTGAACGAGAATGGGAAAAGAATTAAGGCAAATTTGAAAAACTTTACAAATGTGAAAGTTATAACAAAGCCTATGTGTCAAGCATAAGTTTGTTAACATATAAATTGACGTTTAACAACACGAAACCACTCAAATGCAACTGTAAAATACAGAAAATGAAAAACATAGAAGTTGAAACTTACGTGATTGCAACCATCAAAAATTATGATGATCATTGAATATTGACGATCGTAATATTATACAATATTATACAATTCTATAAGTGAAAATGTTGTTTCATAGCTGAAGAATCGATAATCTTCTTGATGAGTTATACAATTCATATATTATACGTGAAGTATACTGTTTGTCTTTAAATCTAAGTTAAATTTTAATACATTTTGGATTAATTGATTGTATTGATTTAATCCAACTAAATATTGCTTTTATTCCCTGTATATGGACATATTGATCTATCGAAAGTACACAAGTCATCGATATTGGAAGTACCAAAACAATAAGTGAACTCTATCTATCATGACAACTTTTGTCAGCGGATTAGAATGTTTCATTTGTGTTAAAAAAAATACAAAACACCACTAGCTTTGGGCAATCATTTAGGAACCAAGTTTGTCAAGACATTGAAGAAAACGTACAAATGCAAGCATTGTAATAAAATTTACGAATCATGTACTTATACGTGGGCTCATGAACTCAGAAGGTAGGAGTGCAGAAACGCTCCAGGCTTTTTATGAGCTCACTGTCATTTTTCTAGCAAGTTAAAAGTAAATCTCATTGAGTAAATTTTATCGTAGCATGACCTCAACAGACGTTCACAATATAGAAAAGAGAGTCCAAAAGAGCATACAAGACCGTATAAATGCAAAATACTTATAATATAAAAAGCTATATATATAGTAGACATTAGCCGTCTATAATAGGATCAAAAAAGGCACGAATGAAAATACAAGTCACAGCGCCACGAAAGGGACTTGATGCCATTAATATGCGAGAAATCTTTCATGTATTTTATTTTAAAATACAACGCAAGTAGTAAATTAGTAACAGCGATTTACCTCCACTTTTCTTCCTAACAATACGTCAAATCTTTCAACCACATAACAAATTTATGCACTATTTCTTTATTGCTCATTATTTTTCAATTAACAAGTAAATGATATTAAGTCGCATTGCATCGTTAGCTTTTTCTTGGCCATTTTTGTGTTTTGGTTATTTTAACAGCGCGTATAGTCGTAATAATATAATCAAATGTTGCATGCATGTCAAAATTAATAATCAACAAATTTTCTGTTTTTCATAGGAATTCGCAAAATTTTAAGGAACAAAATAAAACGTTGTAATCCTGAGTCAAATAACGAACTAAGTGAGTAATGTGTTAGAGTATCTTTTTGATTCGAAATTATAATCTCCATATGCTATTCGACATTTGTGTTTGTTTTTAGTCAACCATGCAATTTCGATTAAAAATATTAGCAACAACCAAAGGAATAATGACAAACTATACTCGGAACAAATAACAGGTAACCGTTATTTCCTAATTTATATTAGAAAATGCTGTTACAGCTTCACAATTTAATTCCCAATGTGTGTATAATTTTCAGAAGACTTTCTCATACAAGAAGTACGTCACATAAAAGAGGAAGTAATTGATGTCAACGAATCATCTAACCACGAGATGTCGGAATATTCAGGTAAATGATTTTTCACAGAGAAAGAAAACTATACGTAATTTTTCTACATCCACCAAAATTTTTTAGATTATGATAATATCATGTACGTCGATGATAAATCGGCAAATGAATTTTTTTTTACCGAGTCCATAAACGTGGATGCTCCATGTGAGGACAAAACTAAATCCCACAATGAAGCAGGTACTCAACATTGCACTTAATTGAAAACTAAATGAAGGCATCGATAACTCGAAAATGATAATTATTTTCCAGAACAATTGCACGATTTAATTGTCTTCACGTGCACAAAATGCCGAAAAACAACGAATAACCCGGAATATTTCGTAAAAAAGACCGACTTGCAGTGTTCCGATTGTCAGGCAACGATGAAATTCCAATGTCCTCGTTGCAAACTTATGTTCAGAAACTTCGACAACGCCGTCAGGCACGCGAAGCAAAGCTGCCCGATCGGCGAGTCCACGAGTTTATCTCCAATGTTACTGGTACGAATTTCCTAATTTTGCAATCGGAAGTGACAAATCCGCTAAAAAGTAAATCCGTTTTTTCAGATCGAAACGAAAGACAACGTACATAAGTGTTCAGCCTGTGGCTACAGGAGTGCGAGCACATTAGATTTCCGTCGCCACATCCGGTTCGCGCATCCGAACGACGACTCGGCGTACGCGTGCAGTCGCTGCTCGAGAAACTACAAATCACGCGACAGTATGATGAAGCACCTGCGACTCTGCGGACGAGAACCACACATCGTGTGCGTGTTTTGCGGCTACAAAACTAAGCGTCGCGAACATCTTCGTGTGCACATGCGACACAAACACCCTGATCCAGAATCCTGCCATGGGGGTGGATACGATTGTCCGAACTGCAACAAGAAATACAAATATTTGATGCCCTTGAAATCGCATTTGAAGATTTGCGGAATGAAGAAAGCTGAGATTGATAATCTTGCCAAGAGTACACAAGGGAAAGAGGCTGAAGAGACAACGAACACCACGAAAGAAACGGAGTAGATTTTTTTTCAAATCGTGCATTTAAAAGTTACTTAGACTGAAACTAGACTTGTTAAACGAAATAATAGAAGAATTTTAGCCTCAAAAAGATTCTAGAGGGAAAAATTTATTATGGCCTAACTTTCATTTGGAATTGATTTTTCTGAATAATTATTGTGAAAAATATAAATAAACATTTTTGCGACAAAAAAAAACATTAGTTTAATTCGCTTGATTTTTTCATACTATTTTATTGATTATACTTTCATTAATATAATTTAATATAGTTTAGAATGTTTATTTAAAACGTATTATTTTTTTCTTTTATTGTGTCTTCAAGATTTCTGTTTCACTTATCAACAATCTAAATTTAGCTTACAGTCAATTCAGACGACAACCAACTAAAAACAACCACTGAAGGCTAAACAACACAGGTAAATAAATAAATATCCATCATTAACAAAAAAAATATAGTATAATTTTTAAAATTATTTTTTGCAAAGGTCCGAAATACCGACTTCATTTCAAAATGCAACAATAAAAAATCATTAAAATCTACTGAAATTTGTAAAATGCTCGAATGCAGTTCGCTTTTTATTTTACCAATGCACTGAATGCACGAGTATTTTTCCAGGTTCTCAGTACTCACACTTGCATGCTGCGTATCGTAGTCCGGCTTATCAAAACGGGCAAGCTGAGAATGTGTCGAAGAAAACGACGTAAAAAGAGAAGAATCATTTGCTTATGACGGACAAAGCGATTAAGTTTCATAAAAAAGACCTCGGGCTGCAGAAATCTTAAAATACATATTTTATCGTAGCATTGGATATCGAAATGTTTCCGCCAGATTACATAGTTTTTGTTATTACGTTTTTACAAGTAAATTACAAATTAAACGCAATGTTTATTTAAAAATGAAAAAATATAAATAATTATTTTTTTTTCTAAGCCGTGAGTCATCATTTGATTTTTACAAAATTAAATTCAACAAGGAGTATTTGTTCGTTCATTAAACGGCACATCAATAAAATTTTCATACGAAAAAACTTACACTTCTAATTTACTCCTTACGTTAAATTATTTGAAGACGCTGAATACACGACTATAATGATTCACATCAATAAATAAAAGTTATTTCTTTTCAAAAAGTTATAAAAAGTTATAAAATTCCTAAAAAAATATTCAAATTTCCCGCTGAGCCACAGATAACATTCTAAATTCATAACCTCTTGAAACATTAAGCTCCAACGGTTTTATTGTGAAATCCTTTTTTTTTTTTTCGTAGATACGAAAACAAGTATCGGTCGGTCGCTTCAATGTGCTCTTGTTTACAAGTTTCCGTTGGCGACTGCATCAACTTTTCATAAACCCATAAAATCACAATTTATTCAACTATTTTCAAGAAGTTTCTTATTTTTTCAAATTTATTGATATTGTTCATGTTTTATAAGTTGCAAGTGTTATACTTTAATTTTGAAAACCAAGCAAGAAAACTCACTATAAGTTATAGTGAAGTGAATTCTTTATAGGTTATGGTAAAATAGAAGTCGTATTTAGAGTTACTGAAATCGTCCAAATGAAATATCCTTCAATAGAAAACGTTTAAAATTAAAGCATATTAATGTTAATGATATTATCATAATTAAATAGATTAAATTATTCGGTATAAAGTGCATTTCGAGTAATTAAACGTATACTCTGGAATTTAATTTAATTTTATAAATGAAAGTAATTCAAAGAAGTCATTCAAACGCAATTAATTTGTAATCTTTTACTATGTTTAATAGTAAGCATATGGCTTTTAGGTACATGTAATTTTAAAGTACAGTTTATATGTTAAACAAAATTGACGAATTTACATATTATTATTACTTTTTAATTTTTGAGAGAAGCTCTTATTTAAATATTTTTCTGTGGTAGTTAAAAAGAAAAAAATATTGAATTTTAAATGGTCACCAATTATCAAATGTATGTTTCTCAAGTTCAGTAATTTAGCTATTATCTATTGTACATTTATTAATTAAGGTATTAAATTTCTTCATTATCTAATTGTAAGTTAGGAACATTAAACTATTACTAATATTCATAAAGATAACGAATCTTTGTTTTGAATTTCAACGATTGTATCACTCTCCTTAAGTATTTAAAACAATTTTTTAACGTGTATTTTTTTGTTTTATTACTATGTATATTAATATGTATACTGTGTACTATAGACTATGTACTATAAATATGCATATTTACAAATTAAATTATTTGTAAAAATAAAATAAAATAAAGATTTATTATATGTATATTGAGACTTAAAATTCTTATTTTTTGTGGTTTGTTTTTATTTGTCTACGATTATGTTTATGTTTTTTATATCTTGTTTTGTCTTACAAGAATGGCTAGAATAATATTTGCTGATTCAGTTAATTTTAAGTTTAAATTTTTTTTTCAGGCTGTTCTGAAATCCAAGAATAAAGTAATAATAATCAACATCCTGTACTGACAGTAAAACCTATAGCATAACTTTGCACAATTATAGACATGGGTGAATGAAATATTCTTCAATAAAATTTGACTCATTGAAAATAATAGAGCTAAACCAATAATTAGAACAAAAAAGATTTGTTCAACTTTCTGTTGGTTGCACGAAAGTATTAACACGAATACAATGAATCAAATTGCAATTGGTATGGACTTGCTACAAATTTTTATGTTATGTTACTTAAAAAGTACAAAACGTATATGACATTGATGTGGATAGTCTTTGACCAATCTTATGCTATTTATAAAATTAATTGTAAGTATTACCATCATTTTGTCTATTTTAACTGTAATAATAGAATCCAATATTATTAAATATTTTCAATCTTAGATATTTTTAGAAACAGAAATTGTCCTTCGTGCTTAACTTTGTTTAAATGTCCAAATGCCAACTGCAATAGCTCATCTGTGGTTATTATTGATCTTCATAAACATTTCCATGGTGATTGTCAATAGCTGCAGTTTAAATGCCTCTACTGCAAATATTTGCTAAGAAATTCTATGTGATTGGCATTAGTTGGCACTGCGAACACTCAGAAGTAGTTGTTGTTATTGACTTCTTGAAGTTATTGGAAATTAATATGAAATAATAGAAATTTATTATTATGGAATAATGTTAATGTAAGTTTTTAAATGCTTGCATGAATGACAAGTATGCTATGCTTTATGTGACTTCATGTTAGAATGCTTCAAGTAATACATTCTTCTTTCACTCTCCATAGTGCTAAATAAAAATACTATACAAAGATGTGAAAGTAAGTCCTTAATAAAAAATATATACAAGATACAGTACAATGAAATGAACGATGTATGTATTTCTTATTAAGGGCTTACTTTCATATCTTTTATTATTTTTATTATATTTGCTTAAAGTAATATTTTTTTATAGAGAAATATCTAGCGACCGAGTTTGCAATTTTTTTTTTTCAGACACACATACCTTGGGTAGAAATAGATTAGGAATTAAAGGGACCGACTTTTCCAATAGAATTAAAGGAAGCATTTGTTGTAATTAAAAAAATAAAAATTTATCAACTAAACCGTTGGAGAAAATTGAACAATGGTAAGTGTTCTTTCATAAACTGGTCAAATTTATTTCTATACATAATGATTAATAAAGTTAAATATTTTCAGAAAATTTAATCATAGGCGAGAATGTAAAGCTCTTTCAAGTTATGTTCGGTGTTCACCAATAAAAAAACAAAGTTATCGAAAATAAGTATGTATTATAAAAAAATCGCAACAACAGTAACTGTTTTTGTTGAAAAATGTATTTTTAATTATTCTAGAGAATAAAAGAAGAAATCCCTTGAAACCTATGGACGCCAATGTGAATCAAGCATCAACACCTAGCTTCAAAAAGAAGAAACGTCCAGACTCAATACTTACTCACAAGTTTTCTCATACTAAGAACGGCTGCAATAGACGATTTAAATACAAGAGCAATCTCTACCGGTACATGCTATAGAGTGCCAAGTAAAAAAAACCATTCAAATGTGAATTGTGTAACTACGAAGCTTCTTATGCTGCAAACATTAGAAAGCATTCCTGTAGTTATCACAACGATTCAATGACTGTTGTGTTGGATATGCGTAAGAATGGACAGATTTGGAAACTGCCAAAGAATTCAAAATTTGATTCTATACGAAAAGAACTTGGTTTATCCAATTAGTTCTCTTTTATGTTTCGAGTATTCAACAATATTCTTTTCGACACTCCGTGCGGAAAGTGCGTTTTTTCCGCACGCTCGGCAAAAAACGTGCGTTAAAAATCACACTTCCCATACGTCGTATCAAAAAATACGGTACGGCACATGTTCGGGAAAGAGTTTCTCGTCTCGTGTATCTTTCCACCCTCGCTTCGCTCGGGCGTAAACGCCACACGAGACAAGAATCTACTTTCCCGCACTTGTATCGTAATGTACTATTTTGGTTCTATCTGGTTATCTATTATTTATATTTTTGTACTTTTATCGCTGTAATTTATGTTTAATTTATAAAAATGTAATAAATAAATGCCCAAAGTTATTTTTCTCTTAAAAACATAAAAAAAAAATGTTATTTTTCTCTTAAAAAGTTATTTTTCTTTTTCTTATTTAACGATATTACCAAATGTAAGCTTAATAACTTTTTATTACTAACTACTATTAACTCACAGTATTAATAAGCTGAAATCGATAAACTTTTATTTCAACTAAAGGTATGAATAACAAAAATTGATTGTAATAAATTACTACATCCGAATTTTAATTCAAATGTTTTTTCAGATGAAAATTTTTGCAGAAAAAAGTCAAATATTATAAAAACGAATGAATTTGTATGAGACTGGTGCCAAAGTCCTAAAAATGTGAAGATTCTAATTCTGAACAACCGCAAAGAAAAAGAAAAAAACTAAAAAAATAGCATATTTATTGTATATACATAAAATTTTTAATGCAAAATCTCATTTAGATAAATATACTTTAAGGTCGTAATAACCAAACATTTTTTTCAACTGAATTAGACATCAGTACAAAACAATTTAAATACACAACTCCGGATTACAATCAATCTTTTGCATCATACAATTTCCTGAAGATCTAGATTAAAGATTGGTGCATAAGAAATTTTAAAAGTTCAAATACTTGTTGCGACAGTTATTTTACTAACAATACAGTCTTAACGGTTACTTAAAATATGGATGCTCTAAAGTACTGCCGCACTTTAAGTTTCCTTATTGCAATTATGTGGCTAATAAAATTAATATGAAAATTCAATTCAAATATATCTTTGATAACAATTCTGTTTTTGAAAAATACTAATCACTGATAAATAAAGTAGAAAAAATATAATTATTAAAGAATTGAGTCATTACCTGTATGGTCTATAATCGTGTGATGATTTCGATATGCAATCTTCATACGTAATTATTTCATGTTTGTAAAACATCATAAATCCCTTTTTTAACACGTCCTCTCATTGCACTTCACGGCATGAACATCTAACGATTGATTATTTTTAGTTTTGATAATTGCGACTAGAAAAATAAAGTCAGAGTATCATTTTACAGAAAATATTTGTTGTTTCAGATGGGATAAAGATTAATAGAATATTTGTCCGCTCTTTACCATCGCTATTACCAAGTTTCATCATCCCCAACAAATATCCCAATCGGAAGACTAATTAAGACGTACAAGAAAGTTTTCATCATATATTATTGTATACAAATAGCTCTTCTTTAGTTTTCGGCAAATATAATCATGTAGTATATAACGATTATTTTAAAGAAAATTATAAAATTGTGAAAGCTTATGAAAAGACGCCACCTATCAGCTTGACTAGATAAGTTACCATTGAATCAATGCAATGGTATAATATTGAATTATTGAAATATATACCTTTTTCCTCGTTATTACACATACACATACTGGATACGAAACTAGCGGGACAATTTTCTGTTTCTTGATGTTCTATACCTACATGTAGAGGTACCTGAAGATACGTTTCCTTGAGCAAAGGATTGAACATCATTTTTGAAATTATATGTTACTTAGCTATAACTTATAATAGAAAATATGTATTTTTACTGATATATTCAAATTAACAGTTTGTCAAAGATTGAATGTCAATAACATTTATAAAATAAAAATACTTGATTAAACAAACGTGTTGTTTTATTCATAGGTTACTTAGTTTAAAAAATCTACAAAGAATCCTCTCAAACCCCTTAACAAATATCATATACAAAATGGATTTTCATGCTTATGTTATAATCCGTAGTATCTGATGCACGTACTAATCAGTTCATGCTATAAAGTTTTTCATTGCAATACTTGATATGAAGTTTAGAAACGAGTAATTGAAATTAATTGAAATGTATATGTGCTTATTTTTTTCAGATCTGTTCCAAAAAGAAAATATTGACAATGCTCCAAACGAGCCAATTATAAAAGTAATGTCCATCATACCTGTCGATAATTTGAATGTAGACGAATTTCCTCTTTTCTCTACCCACGAAGAGGGTAAGATTTTTTTTATTTTAAATTTCATTTATATTTAAATATTAACTAGAAAATGATCTTGCTAGATGCCACTGAGAACCACTGTTCTATAAAACGCGGCCGACGTAGGCCACCTGCAAAGTCTGTAAGACGTAGTCGACGTAAACAACCTAAAAAACTCGACATAAAAAAATCAAAAGAAAATTCTGGAAAGCGTCGCATGGGAAGACCATCAGTAAAGCCCACCAAATATGATCCAAGTAAATTCAAAAATACTATAAAACGGAATCGAGGTAGACCCCCCAACTATCCGATCAAACTTAAAATGTCAAAAGAAAAACGTAGAAGTTGCAGGGGAAAGGAAGAGATTCCATTTAATTATAGATGTGGTCATTGCGAGCGTAGAGAAAGATATCCGTGTGATATAATTAATCATAACCATAACGATCATGCGGGACTTGATCTGCATATGATGTACTGGGATGAAGACTGCAAACAATGGAAGTGTTGTGAGAAAGTTGACGATTTTCTAAATGATGCACCACTCGTAGAACAAACAGAGGAGAATCAACAGGATGTTCAGTAAAAAAAAGTCGTTTTTTTTTTACTTCAAAATTATTTTCAATGTTTTTTCTGATTGAAGGCATCTGAAAAAGCGCTCTTATACTAAATATTACTTGCTTATAACTTGCTTATAACTTGCTTATAAGCGATATTCTACTTATATTATTGGAAATGGGAGTTTTTCAAGTAAATTTAAGATTTTATTTTGTTATTTGAATTTTATAATTGTTATTTCTATTTTCATGTCGATAGATATATTTACACTCATAGCAATTAGTTATAGTTTTAAACTACACACACACGCGCGCGCGCTTGCGCATGCGTCATTACTGAAAATATTGCACTTAATGCAATGCTTAAAAAAGACACTTTTTTCTTTACATTTATATTTTTATCAAAATATTAGCATGATCATTATGTTATGTTAAATGTACGATGAAATGAATTAATAAACTATTATCTAATGAAATAAAATGATAAATGATCTTGTTGTCTTTAATAAAATATAAAAGTTTTAGAACATTTTGTAATAAAAACTATTGTTTTTGTTTTTGCTGTACCTGTCATACATTGTATTGTCCACTTACGCAATATAAAATAACGCAAGTTTGTTTTCGCTACAATATAATATACTGTAACGTTTAAACTATTAAAACAATATTGTATATGCATTATAAACGTAAAGACAACAAATATATAGATAAAAGCTACATCGACATTGTATTCCATTTATAATATAGGTGAATCTTTGTCTCGGCTATCATCGTTAAACTTTGAAAAAGAAAGTGCTCATGGAAACTACATGGAAATACATTTGATAAAGAAAATTGAGGAGCTGTGTAAAATATTCATACACATGTCATTCTACGTTGAATAAAAAATTATAATTCATGTACTAAAGTTTTCACATCTTTTTTCAGGTCAGTTCGGATAAGCTAACAGACAATTTTCTAATCTCATTCATGATTCGGTTATACTAGAAAGTGAGTATAGATATTTAAGCCGAATAATGAACCAAAATATTGACTTAATTTTATGAATGACAATATTTTTTAGAAGATAGTATCGCTTCGGCAAACCCATCAAAAAATCGCTAAGGAAGACTCTCAAAAAAAGTTTAGAATATTAATAATAAATTGGAAAATCTTGAAAATCAGGAGACAATTTTGACAACAAAACTAAAGAAAAAAAAATGTATATGTATCTTAATACCTCAACGTCACAAATGCCCTAATACTAATTGTAACCATCCATACAAACATCCATGTACTCTTATCATCTCGAATTGAAATGCCAAATTGATCAACATTTCAAGTGCTATTATTACGACCATGTTGATTATTATCCTGACAACATTCACCAACATAGCGAAAGTTGACAAAAACAGCAAAAGTCTAAATGCATCGGCACTGTAACTAACAAGCTCGTTTCTCGTTAATAAAAATATTTATTTTATTTATTTTTCACTTAACATAAGATAGAGCACTATATGCTATGCACGATGGTATGGTGAATTTTAATTTGCAAACAAAATGTAAAAAGACTGAATTCGTTCATTTAATAAAGTTGTTAATGTGTCATTTCAGCTGTATTAAATTTTTTTTCATTTAATTGTAAGTTTCTAAATGTTCCATTGTACGGTGTTGTCCGCTTTATCAGTAGTAGAAAAAAAAAGAAAACAGCAAAACCTGCTCTTTTATCCGATTTTCGATAATTACTAACGCTTGAAACCTGTCGAAAAAGTACTAAAAACTACGTGTTACGTGCATTTTAAGTGTTTAAAGCAGTAAACATACAAAACAAAACTACATTGACGTTGTATCTTGTTGATGATATATTAGTGGATTTCTGGTTCATGCTTCAAAAAAGAAAACATTCCTAGAAAATAAGCATGTGCCTGGGGAAGGAAATGAAGAAACTTACCCATCAAAACGTACGTACATCGTTTCAACTCGATTAATGAATTAAAAATTAATCGTTTTATTTTCTAACGCTTTCATATAATTTTTCAGGTCAGTTGCGTCAACGAAGACCGCTGGAAAAATCTCAGAATGGAAATAACAATGAATTACAACATCTTGAAATCCAGATGACATCAAAATCCAGGAAGGACAGGAAGACACGGAAATACCCAGTGGATGCCTTTAAATGTCATAATAAAAATTGCAATCGTTCATATAAAATTCGAAATAATTTTAAAGGACATCTCGAATTTGAATGTCAAAATGATCCCCACTTCAAGTGCAATCATTGCGAATACCTTTCTTTTTACCGTGTAAGCCTTCGTCGGTATAATCAGAACATGCGTAAAAAGCGAAAGCCCAAGTGCATCGACACTTTGACCAACAAAGAAATTCTTTGTTAGCCAAAAAAGATCTTTTCTGGTTTTAAGTACAAGGGAAAGTTTAATACTTTTTTTGAAATTTATTTTCTTATGTTCTTTGTTACGAGGCGATTTGAATACAGGATATTAGTTTATCTTTATTACTACATTATTGTTATTAAAATAAATCGCCTCCAAGGAGATGCCTACTACTAGGTATAAAAGGTTTTATTTGGTTCATAAAGATTTCATTTTACCCATCATTTTTATAATTTGTATTAGAAATGTAAGAAATGATTCAGGGGCACTTGGCAGTGAAAAAATTTTCCATGATTTTTTCACATATTTCAAGAAAGTGACATATTTAAACGATGTTTGATGCTACGTACGATTATATGTAAGCCCAGCGCATTAGTCTACCGAATAAAGATTTTTCTGCTTAAGATCGTACCATTTTTTCACAAGACTGGTTAATGTTTCTCTGCTAACAGATATTTCAAATAGCCAATAAAAACTGTTAACAAATATTTGACTTCTTAAATGATATTAAATTCAATGTAGAGTTGCATTTAAAAAACTGATTGCAAAATACAAATTCCAGTTTTTTATCGTCGAAGTCTTACAGACTGTCGATTCGCTTCATTGTTGCGCAGCTTTTCTTACAGCCATTGTGCGCTGTTTGACTTTTTTTGCATCTCACACGACACCAAAGAAAAGTTCATCCACTAACCATTCGACCTTTCAAATGTTACAGGTATTTGGGTGCCATACGTACCAAAGACGCGCCGTAGACGACGACCGTTCAAGTATGATCCGCCAATAGCAGTACCGAGTAAAGTAAAGGGTCGCCCATATCGTTGTCCCAATTGCCCGAAACGCTTCACTGCTAAGAGTAGCGTATTACAGCACGTACGTTACGATTGCAACAAATTGCCACGCTTTTCTTGTCCTTACTGTAAACAACTTAGCAAATGGCCATTTGCACTTTACAAGCATATTAGGAAGGTACATCCCGGCAATAGAGTCTTTTGCAATGACACCTTGAGCTTGGATGAGGCCGAGCTAACGAATATGTAAAATTCTCAGACAATGTTGTAAGATATATATGGAGAGAGTTGCGACGGGGGAGAGGGAGGGGAAAAATAACAGACGGTATTTCTCCGGTCTCGCACTGTCGCCAGCGGCGCGCAGTCAGCCGAGACAACGTGTGCAGCTTTGTTTTGTTTAAGTTGGGCGCCAGCTACCGTGCTCTCGCGTTAGGAGAGCGTGGTAGCGCTGCAACGTTGGCTGGTTCTCGGCTCGGTGGTCCTGCTGGTCGCTGTGAGGTCGGGTGGTTCCCCGTTGCCTCTCTCCTCGTCGCCGTCGGGGTTCTTTGCGCGCGTGGCCGGCTATCACCTGTGAAGAGTGAAGCGGGGGCGCGAAGTCCTAGGCGACGATTCGGTCGAATCTAAATCGTATCGAGCGAAGGGGAAAGAAGGGGGGCAACGGGTGGTTTCCAAGGCCACCCACGGCTGCGGCTCGTTCGGCTAGCTAGATGTTTCGGGGCATGGCGGCTCTCAATCCCAGAAGCGGGTACATCGAGGGGGGGCGTCGCAGGGGCGCCCCGGTTGGCGGCTAGTGGTTCGGGGGATGTTAGCTCCTTCCCTGGACTGGTGGCGTAGTGGCGGCGACGGTGGCTACCGGTTAGGCGGTGATCAGGGCAGTCGCGTACGCGCTTATTAACCTCAAACCGATCACGAAAGCTACGGGGGATGGGGCGATCAAGTGGGTATAGTCAATAATAAGTCGGATGTAAAGATAATTCGGATTTATTACGCAAAAGAAAAACCCCAGGTCAACCCCAGTGGTCTACCCGTTGCTATGGTCAGCCTAATTTGGGTTATCGGGGACGCGAGTGGCGTACTACAGCGCAAAGGTCGGCTTAGGCGAATAATAACTCGGTCGAACGCTTCGGGCTTCAGATACTATTCGGATACGTGATGTCGGTTTATCTATTCGCGGAAAATTCCAGCTTGCTCAAAACAATTGCGCTCCGGAATCCGGCCGGCCACGCGAAGGCTAACTACGGCTCGCGGTGTCGACGATATTTGTAGCGACGATCGCGAACAAAATAAAAGCGAATGTATCCGAATCCTACCGGTCGAATGAAGGTCTAACGCGACTGGTGCGATGTTTAGATCGACTCGGAAAGGAATTCAGAGACGCGTACTCGTTTCACGGATGATAACAACACGGCGACTAGAAACTATCCCCGAAAGGTCGGTGGCGAAAACACATGCAGCAACGGCAACGGGCGCGCGAAGGTCATGCGGGATTCCGTGCGCGAACATTCGGCGGTCATGCGATTATTTCAGGTGCGGAACAAAGAAACAGCGTAATAAGAAAATTCGGGGATAACGGCAAACGTTTTCGGTCAAGACATAATGCGCGCGAAGGTCATGCGGCACTCCCGAAAACGCGAGCGTTCGACAACTTCAAATTGCGGACAATGATTAAACGTCGGTTCGACCAAGGATTTTCGGTGGCTAACAATAAACGGTCGAATATTACTGTCGGACGCGCGAAGGTCGTACGGCACTCCCGAAAACGCGGCGGTCGACAATGCGCGGCAAACTCGCGATTATTGATCATGCATAGAAAATCGATAGTAAGGGAAGGGTACTTACTCTTGTGTTATCGTTATTCCGTTAGATTTATTCTATTAATTTTACTCTATTATTTTTCTGTTATTTCCGTTATCGTTATTCCGTTAGTCCTGTTATCGTTATTTCGTTATTCTATTATTTCTGTTATCGCTATTTCTTTATTCTATTATTTCTGTTATTTTTTCGTTATCGTTATCCTTTTATTTTATTGCTATTCGTTATTTCTGTTATGCCTACTTCTATCACTAGTTTCTTCTACTATTTCCACTTTCACTGTCTCTTTATGCCTACTTCTATCACTAGCTTCTTCTACTGTTTCCACTTTCACTATCTCTTTCTCTATTTCTATCACTAGCTTCTTCTACTGTTTCCACTTTCACTATCTCTTTCTCTATTTCTATCACTAGCTTCTTCTACTGTTTCCACTTTCACTATCTCTTTCTCTATTTCTATCACT